GAAATCAAAACATCGATACTTTTGATAACTTACGCATTCTGAGATGAGGTGTATCCTAAACAGAAACACGGTGAAAAGTATCCAAATGATTGAGATGTTGTCCAAGTGACGCTCGGTTGGTGGGACTACTTCTTCTTCCGCCTGGGTGTGTGCGTCATGCGTAAGCACAGGTGGCTCTGCTCCGTGCTCTCACTCAGTCACTATTGATGGGAATTTCGGCTCTTTTTTTTAGAGAACCGGTTCTTTTGGCTCGGTGACTCTTTCGGGTCCCAAATGGCTCCTCAGATTATTTTTTTTTATTATTATTTTTGTTTTACAAATAACATGTTTTGGTGAATAATGTATTAGAAATGTTGACTGTACAGTAAATGAGGCAGCTACCTCAGTACACTCCAGAGTTTAAAATAATTAAATAATTAAAAAACTCTGCCTTGGATTCTTAAAGAAGCTATGATTTGAAATACAGTTTTTTTTTATTTAAAAGACAAATGATAAAATATCGATATCGGTATCGGCGATACCAGCCCGAATTTTACTCGGTATCGGATCGGAAAGGAAATTGGTGGTATCGAACATCACTACTGAGCATGGCACCGTCCCCACATTGTGTCACAATGACAAATAATAATAATAATAATAAAAATAAAAAAGGGTCTGGTCCCAAACGGCTATAGTGTGAGTACTGCCTTGGTTTAGACTAAGTTTAGTGTCAGATCAGAGTCAGTGTTAGGATTAGAGGCTGATGTTAACATGGAGGCCCTAACCAAACACACGAAACTTTGTGGTGTTGGGAGTGTGTTTGTTTTCCATACCATTTGTGTTTTGGCTACAGGTCATCGGACCAGTTTGACCTTCCAAACCATGAACTCAAATCAGACCACTGCTGCCCTTCCCCACTAACCCCTCATCTCCCCATCTGACCCCACATGGACTGACATTTTTGACGCTCTGTCTAAAAATGTTCCTTTTATAAATGGCCCAGGAAGAACGTAATAATGTGTTAAAGTTAGTGCAGCCGACATTTAGCGTGGTCAGAGCTAACCCCCGTAGCTTCAGGCTAACATCTGTGTGTCTTCTCTGCAGCATCTCTAACTTCACTCCTAAAGTGGGGGAGAAGGACACCCAGAGAGCCATCAGACAGGCCTTCAACGTGTGGCAGGTCGTCACTCCGCTCTCTTTCCAGGTCCGTCACAATGTTCTTGGTTCTTAGTTCTATTAATCACAGATGTGAATACCGATGATAACGGGAATGACGTGAAAAATCTTTATCCAACATGACCTTTAAAGCCTGCAGATCAAACAGATGATTTCGAGGATGTAGACCTTAAAGAAAGTAAAACACTGAATGATTTACCTTAGAACTGAGCTAATGAAGAATAAAGAGTTATTGAGATGACCTCACTGAGGGTTCTTTTACTCCAACACAGTTCATTCTGACTATCAACTTTGGTCAAAGTGAGTCATGGTCACTCCTTTCGTTCACCTTTCGTTTACCTTCCAGGAGGTCCCGTACGCGCAGCTGAAAAGCGAGGGCAAAGAAGCGGACATCATGATCTTTTTTGCCTCCGGTTTCCACGGTGACAGCTCTCCCTTCGACGGCGAGGGGGGTTTCCTCGCACACGCCTATTTCCCTGGCGCTGGCATTGGAGGCGATACACACTTTGACTCTGACGAACCCTGGACGCTGGGCAACGCCAACAACGACGGTGAGCTCTGACACGAATGTGCGGAGGTGAGACGATGAAGGGAGTGTTCTCCATCGGCTCCGTCCTCGGTCTGGACACTCGGCTGTTCCGCCGGTGTCTGGGGGGTTGGGGTCCCGTCTTTTTTGTCTGTGGGCTTTAACGACTCCGC